GCTATTTTCCTAAAATACCCTCACATTAAATAGAGTACAACTTTATGGGAACTTGAATTAATGGTAAAAAAAGAATCAATTCTCATTAAATGGAGTAGGTTTATAGTAACAACAACTTACATTGAATAAGGGTATTTTAGAAAAATTAAAATACAACTACATTATTCAATTGGAAAGTAAACTACAATTTGGGACAGACGAAAAAAGGAAAACAGGACTATCAAAATAGGACGGAGGGAGTAATTTATAAGGAAAGAACCCAATGTTCTTGGGATGTTCAAATTACAAGATATGATAATTGAGAAGTTAGAAAATGACACGAAGATAAGAGGCATCCATTTTCAACTCCTTTATAAGGAACGAGGGGGCTTCTAGAATTAGAAATTAGTAACTTCTGAAAACAGATTTCAGAATTTGAAGTTTACTGAGCTCATTGACCTGCTTAATCTGGTACAAATAAATGTTGGGAGAGGTCCTATGTCAAAACTCAGGTGCTTACGGATCAACTACTGTTACGATTTAGGAATGCTTCCTGGAGAGTTGAAGCCCCTGAAAGGTCTTGAGACGATGGAGGGAGCAGCCACGCCAAAATCATTCATCACTAGGCTTCAAGGAATAGATTCATACAAGGTCGGCCACGTCCCCAACATGACCATGGAAAGCATTGACTTTAAAAGGTAGAAATTTCACGCCCAAATTCGAAAATCTGCTGCCTTTGTTAGAGCACAGCCCGATAGATTGGTTGAGTAAAACATTTCTTTTATTATATTTTGTTTGGTTATTTATCAACTGCTTACATTAACGGTGTCAGATAACTTGTTTCTTCAAGATCTTCATCATATACACAGTTGACAACTTGAATATATATTGAGGTTTATGTGTTAAGATATCCTCAATATATTATTCTACAACACTTAAAAAATTGATTGTATCACAAATGCGTATTTTAGCCATCTTTTTATCTTTCTATAAGCTTTTTAAGCTCACATTCATTATATCACAAAAACTACTATAATACTACTGCATCAAACAAGGGACGCCTAAGGTGAACAATGAGAGGGAATTTTCATGTTGGAGAAAAAGAAAAAAAAATGGAATTCAATTACCGAAAAACAGAATAAATGCACTTTTGCAACAAATGGAATTTTGCTTCTGAAAAAGCTGAAGAAATGTTCTTTTGCATTCAACCAAGCAATAAATGCCTAAAGAATTACGACTTTCGTCGCTTAACCGAAGGTTGAATGTAAGTATCAAAATGATTCACGGTCTTTACTCTATTTAGCAAAAATCGGTTTAATATAAACTAAGGCCCTGCTTGGGGTTATGGTACACTTATAAAAAAAAAGTAAGAATTTTTTACAGTGTTTGGTAATTAATTTCTGTAACTTAAAGAGTCGAGTTTTTGGTAAGTTAAAAGCACTTTTGTTAAAAGCATTCATGTAAGGCGTGCTTCTTTATAAATCAGCGCAATCCTAATCAAGGCCTAAGAAAAAAGAGCTGTGAATATATAGCTTATGACAATGCAAAAGTAACAATTGTTTTACAAAATGGGAAATTTATAGAAATGCATAGCAACTGTTTTGGCAGTTTTTTCAATTTCTAATGCTGAAAATTTTAGGATGCAATTATATAAACAATCATAATACTTGAAAAATAAATTTAAAATGAAAATAATGTGTTCGTTATTATGATGTATTCAACACAAAATAGCTCAAACTTTTTTTTAATGTGAAAATAGCCTTTATTCTTTATTTTGCAATCACATAAAGTAGGGGATAATGCTAGAAAAATATGTAATTACTAGTAATATTAGCCATCAAATGGATAATTGTATTTAATAGTAATATCAATAGTATTTACCAAAAATTGAATTCCATTAAGCTTAATATTTTAATCTAAACGCAACTACCTAGAAATCAAATTTAATTAAAATAAAGAATTTGTACTAAAGTCTGAATGTTAGATTCTGAAAGTCAAATTCTATATAAATAAGAGTTTAGAGCGGATGTGACTTTCAGAAAGTCAAATTCAAGTAAATTAAAAGAGTTTGTACAGAATTTTTTTTGGGAATCATATTCAGCCAAATTAAATGTTTGTACCTAATGTGACATTTTGGTAATTAAACTTAGCTGAACTTAAAAGTCCATACTGAAAGTCATTTTATTGGAAACCAAATTCATTTAAAATTAAGGATTTCTATTTGATGTGATTTTTAGGAAATCAAATCTATTAAATTTGAAAATTTATATTGAATGTGACTTTCAGTGAATTACATTCAGTTAATGTAATACCTTAAGGAAAAAAATGCATACTAACACAAAATGACCCAAAGGAAGGGGCAATCAAATATCTTTCGAGTAAACTTAAAAAGAAAACTTAGAAAAACTTTGAGCGTACTCAGAAAGGAATTGATTGAATCAATTGTAACAATTGTTAAAACTCTATATAGAGGCAGGCAACAAATACAACAATATTTAAGGAAGGTAAATAACAACGAGCAACCTAAAAATAATAATAAGTCGCGTTGACCGTCAGACAAACGGTCCTATACCAATAATAAGGATTCAGGGGGACCATCTGACAGTGTCACTTCTTAGACATTCATGCCATTTATTCATGAACAAAAAATAACTAAAAAGAAAAAAGGAAATATTAGTAAACACAAAATAATGTGCTACGTCTACTCCAATTCTAAAAGTTTTATACATTGTCACTATAAATTTTTTTTTGTAATAATAGGTTTAGATCATGCCATACAATATAAATTCAAATTTGAAATTCAAATCATGCATATATGTCATATATCCAAAACTGAATCTATTAGTATAAAAAATTATCACCCTATCAACGTACAAAAAGTCAATTCTAATTCTATTCCCACTTAGAAATGTAATAAGATATATGGACATCTCTATTGATGGTATGCGGTTAGAAGCAAAACTGGGAGTTGGATGCTTCACATCATATACCTTCAAATAAATGTAAGATAAAACTGATCTTTTTTTTGTTGCGTTAAACGCAAAAAAAAAAAAAAATCCCAATGAACTATTACACTAGTTATACTTTACACCATAAAATATTTTAATGGGCACTTTACACCCTTGGTCAACTAAAAAATAACACGAAAATTAATTTCATCCAAGTTATTCATGAAATGACCAATTTATCTTCCATCAAAAATTTGAGAGGCAAAAATATGGGAAAGATTGCTACTTTAAATAGACTAATTTTCATTTCATAACAAAAATTCTAATTATTAACACATAAAAATATGCTACTTCGCTTTGATTGAGAATTAAGACTATTGGGATAAAAATGAGAGGAAAATATGAAAATATTGAGTAATTACTGTTGCAATTTTAAAATCTCATGATTTTCTTCAATGCATTATAATGCCATAACTTCACATAATCAGCAAAATTTCACTTGAAATCTTCACAATTATAAAATTGGAGTAGAACCCAAAAATTTTTGTATGAATTTAGTTGCAACAAAGATTCAATATCGAACCAAAGTTAAAACCCACATATTAGTAAACAAAATTTTGGATTTAGAAGTTTCAATAAAACACCTAAAATATTTACTTTTCCTTGATAACAATATTTTCTTACCTAGGCTAACTTGAAATATGTAGTAAAATAGGGTTGCTAAGATTCTTGAATTGAATTTATTCCCTTTCTTCCTTTTTTTCCTACTTCTTTTGTTTTAATTGTCATTCAAAGTGATCATATATTTTATTGTTATATATTTCAATTAGAATTTTATTATAAAGTGAAAACTAATCCATTTAAAGTGATAACTTTTTTCTACCAAAAGGTATTTTTGTCACTTACAAGCTTTTAATGGAGGATAAATTGATCATTTTATTAATTATTTGGCAAACGTTAATTTTCTTATTATTTTTTAGTTGACTAAGGGTATAAAGTGCCTGTTAAGATAGTTTCTGGTGCAAAGTGCAACTAGTGTAATAGTCAGTAGGGGTTTTCTGAAGTTAACCCTTTTTTTGACTTTCCCGTAAATTTCTGCATAACGATCCAATCACAACAATTGAACTTCAAAATGACCCAAATTTGACCATGAAGTGCTCCTAAGTTGCATAACACTCCCTTTTTTAGGTATTGAGGCTCCGTTTCCACTCCAACATTGCCATGCTGCATTTTTTTTTGTACGGCGCATGGACCTTTTCTGATAAATAAGGAGAAAAATATTATGACGAATCTTGTTGGAAATTGTCGTACTAGTTGTTTTACAAAACCTGAGGAGAGTTTCAAAGAGAATCGATTCAAGTTCCTGGTTTAGCCAAAAAAGGCTAATTCATAAGCTACTTTATTCGAGTCTATTGCATGGTCCTTTTGTTTGGCTACAAGGTGCAGATTGCAATTTACTTGTTAAGCTACTTCTTTCAACCTGTTGCTCCTTTTCTGTTCATTTAAATGCCTAAACACTTTCCCAATCAGCCTTAATTACATGACTCGATCAATTGTTGAGAAAATATGTTACAAGTATGCATGCGTGGCAGCAGTGAGACCATAATGCTTAGCTTTTATTTGATTGATTTGACTTAGTTTTTTTTTTTTTAATGATTCGTTTCTATGCAGTTGGCTGATAATTTGTGATCTACTAAACCTCAATTTACTGGCCCATAATCTCAACGGACAGCAGGCAATCAAGTTTGAGAAGAAGCAAAAAAAAAAAAAAAAAAAAAAACGAGAAACGAGAAACGAAAAAAAAATGGTAAGACTTCTTCCCCCTTTGCTTCATGTTTTTTTATCAATACTTTTATCTTCTTCGATTAGGGATACAGAAATGATAAATACCTAAGATTCTTGTATCTGATGCTATCAACCAAGGAGATAAAAACATCACTATAATTTTGTAAGAGGTGATAAGTGAAATGTTTTTAAGGACGATCATACTAGGAAATTAGGACAAAACATCACTAATACATGGTAAATTTTTGGAAGCTATGTTTCAACTTTTGGCCTACAAAGGATGTATTTCTAATCGACCACGTGTGGAGCTTCTACCATGCACTTTGGCATGCAAGATGCAAACATCAGTGGCTTTGAAATAAAGTGAAGAGATAAGAGTTTTGACCTTACGGCAGCAATAATTTCCTGGAAAAAGAAGACCAGCATTAGGGAGTGTTTCAACATCAAAATCTAGTGACTTCACCCAATTTGCCACTCTAGCTTTCTTGGTTGATACTTAGAAGAAAAATACGAAAGAAAACTAGCCATATGCATGCATGTATACACCAATTAATAGACCCCAACGCCTTTGCAAACAATTAATTGTTTAACAAAATGGACAGTTTCTATAGAAAAGCATCGAAACTGGAAGGGAAAAGTGAACCATGTGAATAGAACCTCTCTTCTGAGATCAGTTAAAGCTACAGAGATTAGAGTTTCGCTTGCAGCTGCACCTAAAGGCCAAAAGCTTCTCCTCCATTACTAGTTGAAAGCAAAGCTCACTTAACCAAGATGGCTGACCTTGTTATCTCTCCTGTCATTGACAGAACTGGTGATCTGCTGATTCAAAACTTTGCTTTCCTGAAAGATGTTCGATGACAAGTTGAGAGACTCCAAAATGATCTGGTCTGGATGCGGTGTTTCCTGAAAGACGCAGACCAAAGGCAAGATGAAGATGAGAGGATACGCAACCGGGTTTCTGATATCAGAGCTGCTGCCTACGACGTGGAGGATGTCATTGAGATCTTTACAAAAGGAAAGCATAAAAGACAAGGGATTCGTCACCAAATTGGCCTTGCGCATTGGGAGCCCTTACAAGATAGGTAAAGAGATTGTAACCTTACGGATGAGGCTCAAGGAGATTTCCGATAGCCGCGAAGAGTATGGAATCAAAAATTTTGAAGAGGGGATGGGTCCCCATAGAGAAGAGCTTCAATGGCTCCGACGATCCTCTCCAATTGGTGACGGCAAGAATATTGTGGGCATCAAGAAGAAAACAAAATCCTTGGTGGCAGACATTTTGAAAGAGGACGAAAACCACTTTTGATACGAATCTCGTTGGTGAAGAAGATATGTGACCCAAGATCATTTGTTGGATTTGTGATCGAACGAACAAAAGAAGGTCGCAGCGGAAACCTTACGACCCCTTTAATCCCCGCGATTACGAATTTGTTGATACCATCTCAACCCGTAATCAAACGAATTAGCGAACCTCAAGCAAGTGTAGAAGGCACCACAATTCAAGTGTGATTCTTGAATTGATAAGCCAAACAAGAACACTAGAGTATAACTCTAAATTGTTCAAGGGGTTGCTCGAAAGCTATGGAGAAAATTCTCACACCCATTTTATGAAAAAATGTCTAACCCTTTTATTGATGTAATATGGTTCCTTATATAGGCTACAAGTAAAATCTAATCAAATAAGGAAAAGAGGACTAAGGTGCGGCTGGTATGGAGCCCTAACAAGCGAAGGAAAATGCAAAAGGAAGCTACGACCTCAACCCTCAGCGGATAAGGCTTCGCGCGGACTTTCCTTCCTAGGCAGCTGACCTTAACCAACATATAATGACTAACAAAATATCAATCCTACCCTTGGCGATTCTATGTGCAACATGCACTTAGCCAATTATTCAATCTAATCAAACTAATACGTAAATAACTGAACTACTAAAATTGGAAACTAGGGTTTGGCAAACAAAAAAACCCTAAACCTCGGGTATAGCTTCAATGCTCAATATAGGACCTCGATCACCTTCACTAGAGTGTGTGAATCCCTCAAGGATTTGTGTATGGCCGGAAAAAGTACATTGAGTTGCTCACTAAGTCTCCGTGCGCGAGCCCTAGTGATGGGTCCGCTTGGAGCGTGCACGTTATCCTCAGCGCCTCGATCACCCGAGCCACCGTTAGCATGCCCACGCACCATGATGCTATCATTCTCTTCCTCTTGAGAAGGATTTGTCCTCAAATCAAAAGTATCATCTGCATCAAAAGGAGCTAAATCAGAAACATTAGACGTAGCACTAACTCCATACTCACCAGGAAGATCAAGTTTGTAAGCATTGTCATTGATGCGCTCCAATACTTGAAAAGGTCTGTCACCCCATGATTGTAGTTTATTTTACCTTTGAACAGGAAAATGTTCCTTGCGCATGTGCAACCACACCCAATCGCTAGGTTCAAAAATTAGCTTTTGGCAACCTTTGTTAGTTTGGTTGACATATTAAGCAGTTCTCCTCTCAATGTTGGCCCTGACTTTCTCATGCAGTTGCTTAACAAAATCTGCACGTTTCTGACCATCCAAGTGCACGCTCTCATTATTAGGTAATGGCACTAGATCAAGAGATGTTAGTGGATTAAAACCATAAACACATTCAAATGGGGAGAAACCAGTGGTAGAATAGATAGCCCTATTATAAGCAAACTCAACATGACGTAAACACTCTTCCCATGATTTCAATTTCTTTTTGATGATGGCACGCAACAAGTTACCTAACGTACGATTCACTACCTCAGTTTGACCATTAGTTTGGAGGTGACTAATAGTAGAGAATAGCAATTTGGTGCCTAAATTAGACTAGAGTGTCTTCCAAAATAGCTCAGAAATTTTACATCTCTATCAGATACAATGATCCTAGGAACGCCATGCAATCTCACAACCTCTTTAAAGAACAAGTTGGCAATATGAGATGTATCATCCGTTTTATGACAAGCAATGAAATGTGCCATCTTAGAGAATCTATCAACTACCACATAGATGAAATTATTGCCATACTTGGATCTAGGCAAACCAAATATAAAATCCATAGAAATATCAACCCATGGTGCACGAGAAATAGGTATTGGGTGCAAAGGCCATGTGGGTGTACCTTGGATTTAGTTTTCTTGCACGCTAAGCAGCGCCCCACCACCCGTGCAACATCTCTCCTTATGTGCGGCCAGTAGAAGTGTTCCTGCAGCATGGCAAGAGTCTTATCAACCCCAAAATGTCCTATAAGTCCGCCCGAATGGGATTCCCTTACCAAGAGCTCACGGACTGATCCATGTAAGATGCAAAGCCAATTGGCATAAAATAAGTAACCATCGGAAATGAAGAACTTATCTTGCCCGGGGTGTTTGCAAGAAATGTAAAACTCACCGAAGTCACTATCTTGTGCATAGAGCTCTTTAATTAACTCAAATCCCAACAACTTAGCATCTAAAGAAGTTATTAGAGAGTACCTTCGTGAGAGTGCATTCGCAACCACATTGGACTTACCAGTCTTGTATTTAGTTACATACGGAAAGGACTCCACGAATGCAATCCACTTTACATGCTTCTTGCTCAAGTTGTGTTGGATCTTAAGGTACTTAAGGGACTCATAATCAGTGTGTATCACGAATCCCTTAGGCCTTAAGTAATGCTGCCACACTTGTAGTGCTTGAATAAGGGCATACAACTCTTTATCATAAGTTGAGTAATTCAGTGCAACCCCATTGAGTTTCTCACTAAAGTAGGCAATAGACTTTCCACCTTGGTTCATCACAGCTCCAACTCCAATACCTGAAGCATCACAATCAATTTCAAATGTTTTAGAAAAATCAGGTAAGGCAAGTATAGGTGCATGTGTGAGTTTGTGCTTTAAAGCGCAAAAAACCTTTTCTTGAGAATCTCTCCAATGGAAATTCTCATTCTTCTTGATCAATTCGGTCAAGAGTGCAGCAATGGTGCTAAAATCCCTCACGAATCTCCTATAGAAACCTGCAACTCCATGGAAGTTTTGAACATCACCCACAGACCTTGGTGTTGGCCACTCTTGAATAGCTTTCACCTTTTGATCGTCCATTTTCATTCCCTGCACACCTATAACAAATCCTAGAAACACAATCTCATTAGTGCAAAAATTGCATTTCTTGAGATTGGCATAAAGCTTCTCTCATCAAAGTATATCCATAACAGCCCTAATATGCTCAAGGTGTTCATCATAAGACTTACTATAAATTAGGATATCGTCAAAGTAAACTACCACAAATTTCCCTAAGAATGAACACAGTGCATGATTCATTAACCTCATGAAAGTACTAGATGCATTAGTTAGCTCAAAAGGCATCACTAACCATTCATACATTCCATACTTAGTTTTGAAGGTAGTTTCCATTCATCCTCCTCTTTAATCCTAATTTGATGGTACCCATTTTTGAAATCAATTTTGATAAAGAACACAACCCTATGTAACTCATCAAGCATATCATCTAAGCGAGGTATAGGGTAGCGATACTTTACTGTGATGGCATTTACAGTTCTACAATCGGTGCATATTCGCCACATACCATCTTTCTTGGACACTAAAATGACTGGAACACCACACGGGTTTAAATTCTCACGTGTCCATCCTTTGCTAAGCAACTCATCCATTTGCCGTTGCAACTCCTTGATCTCCTCCGGATTGCTCTTGTAAGATGGTCGATTTGGCAATGAAACTCCAGAAAAAAATCAATTTGATGCTCAATGCCTCTAAGTGATGGCAATCCACTTGGCACATTCTCGGGGAAGATATCAGCATACTCCTGCAAAAGAGACAACCTCAGGAGGTATGTTAGTATCAAGTTCATGCATATTCAAAACTACTTCTTTGCTAACTAGCATAAGAAGTGACTGCTCATCTCTCATTAACTTCCTCACCTTCTTGGCTTTTATCAGGAGTATTTGTTTTCCCTCGAATTTTACCTCACTTGCCAAGCTATCTATAGTCTTTTTCCTCTCTTTTCTTTTGCCTCGGCTCTCTCATTTTCCTTCCTTTTTGCATAATATTTCTCAAACTCTTGTTGCAATTTCAATTGGTCATCATGCACTTGTTTTGGGGAAAGGGGAGTTAGGATGACTTTTTTACTATTGTACAAGAAGCTATACTTGTTAGTCACACCATCAAAAGTTACCTGCTTATCAAACTACCACGGCCTATCTAGTATAATGTGACTAGCCTGCATATGAACTATATCACATAATACGTCATCAAAATATTTATGAATTTGGAAAGATATAAGAACCTGTTTTGTTACGCGAACCTCCCCAGAATTGTTGAGCCACTGGAGTTTGTAGGGTCGCGAGTGATCCCTTGTAGGTAGCCTCAAGTTGTCCACCATGAGTGAACTAGCTACATTTGTGCAGATCCCACTATCAATAATCACACTACAATGTGCTTGGTTGACGAAGCACTTAGTCTAGAAGATGTTCTCCCGTTGAAACTTTTCCTCCTTAACACGTGCAATTAATGCTCTCTTTGCAACCAATGCAGTCCCAAAGTGACCCTGGGTGCATTAAATTTCTCTTCATTTGGCGACTCACCATCACTACCTCCTTCAAGAGGTGGCATGTCTTCATATTCGGTTTCGCCCTCACTCACGATTTCGCTATTTTGCATCATAATCATAATCCTTTGATTGGGACACTGACTAGCAATATGGCCTCTATCTTGGCATTTGAAGCACCGAGTATCATGAGCTCTAGTTTGTGCCCTAGGCTCCTCAAATTTTAGAATAGAAGAGGGTGGTTTCTCAACATTAGAATTGTCCACCTTACCTCCCTCGAATCTTGACTTTGGTGTAGGAGCATTTGGTAAAGGTTGAGAATCATTCCTTGGTTGGAATGAACGGTTGGTAGAGTAGGTGGTATTGTTGAAATTCGGTCGAGTAGTACCTTTCCTCTTGAGCCTTTGTTCAATCTTAATGGCCTTGTTAACAAACTCATGCAACTCCATATAGTGTTGAAGTTCCACTCGTTCAGCAATATCGGGTCTTAACCCGTTCAAGAATCTAGCTATAGTGGTTTTGGGATCCTCTTGTACATCTGACCTAAGCATCAGGATCTCCATCTCCTTATGGTACTCATCCATACTCTAGTTGCCTTGGACTAAGGTTTGTAATCGGTATTACAAATCCCTAGTATAATATCCAGGAACAAATCGGGTGCGCATCATGACTCGAAACTCGGGCCATGGAATGAGGTCAGGTAGCCCACTTCTCCTCCTTGACTTCTTTATTTGGTCCCACCAAACCACAGCATACTTGGTGAATTCCATGGTTGCTAATTACACTTTTTGCTCCTCGGTGTAGTTTTGCTAAGAAATGACCATTTCGATCTTGGATAACCATTAGAGAAAGGTCTCGGGGTCGGACCGTCCTTTGAAGTCAGAGATTTTCATTTTGATTCCCTTGAACACATCGATAGGTCCAATTTGGTTCCTTTGCCTTGGTCAAGCACGAAGTTCCACGGCATCATCATCATTATTGGAACCATCGGACTCCTCCACATCCCTTCGTTTTCGCATGGACTGAGAAGTTTTTGGTGTTCCAGATGCTCGAATTTGCAGCAACTCATCTTGAATTGGTTCTAACATGCGTTGGAATCGCCTTTCCAATTGCTCCATCATCTTTTCATAGTCTATAGGGTGGGATGCTTCTTCGTTCCCACTAGACATGGAGTCTCGAGTATACCTGCAAGGGTTAGTAGCAAAGAAAAGAAAAGAAGAGAAAAATGATTTTTTTACTTCACCCTCTAAAGTGTATACCCTCACACTCGTATATGGTCACTCAGATCACTCTAATGAGCTCACCAAAATTTTCTCACAGCCCCTTGCAAAACCTTGAAGAAATTAGAATTCCTCAAGTGGTCAAATTTAGCTTAAAAATCAAGTTCAACCAAGAATTGAGTTTAGTAAGAGTGGAGATTTTCTTGGAAAACAAAATTAGGACACTAAGAATGGAGTGGTAGAATATATTCAAGAATAAAAATTGGGAAAAGAATTGACACAAAAGCTACAAAAAATTAAGAATGATACTCAAAGGTCCTAACCGACAAGGAAGTTGGTCCTTTTGCTTTGCTGGATTTCTTGGTTAGTTTAACCTTGTTCTAGCCAACTCGAGGTGCTGTTTTTTTTTTTTTTTTTTTTTTTTTTTTTTTTTTTTGCAGAGGTGCGGATAAAACCTAAGAATAAATCTAGGCAAGTGATGGCTACAAAATAGGAAACAAGGTGAATTTGAAAGCCACTTGGTCTTATTTTGGGAACCCTTTTGGTTTTAGAAACCAGTTGGGTTTAGAAGTCTTATAGCGACTGTCCTTTTTCTTTTCTAGATGTTCAACCGAATAGGTTTCTCTTCCCAGGTGCTTTGGGAGTGCACAAAGGTTGGGATATTTTGGCGAATTAAATTCGGACCTCTCTGGCTGTTCAACTCACAAGGAGCAAGAACAACAATCCAGATGGAATCGCAAAATCAAGGTGATGCTCAAGTTCCTCCACGGGCTGCCCACTTTCGGGTTACCCAAGAACCTCTCAAGAAAATTTCAAGAACTCCTCGAAAACCCTTTACAGATGCTTGAGAGTATAAAAAGTTGTTCAAGCAACACAAGATACAAGTTTTCAAGATTCAAGAGACTCAAGAAGCTCCAGAAGTTATTGATCAGAATTTTTTAATGTAGACTAGGTTCAATGTAATCTGCAAGTGATTCCCCACAAAACTCTAGTTTCCTGTTCGAGTTCCCCAATTCAATAAAAGTATTCAAGACTCTTTTGTTTCGAAATTTGCTTGCTGTGTTTTTTTTTTGTACAACAGTAACTTCGGATGAACAAAGGCTTTGGTTACCAAAAATTTTCCAGGTCTGTTTTGAGTTTTGTTGTGGTCTATTTTGGTGGCTTTTGCAATTGGGTAGGCTAGATTTTGGTTCCCAAACAGGTCAAGGCTTAGCTCTAGGTATAGACCAACCTTAACAATCAACAGAATTCAGGAATTGTAAGCTCAACACAAAATTTTCAGCAAATAACTTTAGGAAGATCGCTGCAAATTTCCAAATTTCAAAAGTATCAAGAATCTCTTCAAGAACTCCAAGAAATCGTGAAGTTTGCTTACAAAATTCAAGAACAAGGTACCACTACTTTCCTAGATAATGAACAACTAAGAAACAGATAAGAACAGATTTAGAAACAACCACAACTCAACAAGAGACACGAACAGAATTTGGAAACTTCAAAAAACTGCAACTTCGCGACTTGGAAGAAGATACCGAACAGAAAAATTTGTCCTTTTTTTTTTCTGTTAACAAACGATGAAATCAATACACAACTAACCCAAACACAATACAATTGACTCCCAAAAATTCTAGAAATTAAGAACAACACCAAGACAGACTTAAAACAACGACGACCAGAATTTGAAAGCAAGGAAAACTTGCGGACAGATTGCAGTGTGCGAACAGAATTTTAACTAACGAGACAGACACGAATTAAGACACGACAAGAGGGACAAAACGATGTTACCAACAACCTGGTTCTAATGCCAGCTGATACGAATTTCGTTGGTGAAGAAGATTTGTGACCTAAGATCGTTTGTTGGATTTGTGATCAAAGAAACAAAAGAAGGTAGCAGCAGAAATCCTACGACCCCTTTAATCCCCGCGATTACAAACTTGTTGATACTATCTCAACCCGTAATCAAACGAATTAGCGAACCTCAGGCAAGTGTAGAAGGCGCCACAATTCAAGTGTGATTCTTGAATTGATAAACCAAACAAGAACACTAGAGTATAACTCTAAATTATTCAAGAGGTTGCTCGAAAGCTATGGAGAAAATTCTCATACCCGTTTTATGAAAAAATGTCTAACCCCTTTATTAATGTAATATGGTTCCTTATATAGGCTACAAGTAAAACCTAATCTAATAAGGAAAAGAGGACTAAGGTGCGGCTAGTATGGAGCCCTAACAAGCGAAGGAAAACACAAAAGGAAGCTACGACCTCAACCCTCAACGGATAAGGTTTCGTGCGGACTTTCCTTCCTAGGCAGCCGACCTTAACCAACATATAATGACTAACAAAATGTCAATCCTATCCTTGGCGATTCTATGTGCAACATGCACTTAGCCAATTATTCAAGCTAATCAAACTAATACGTAAATAACTGAAACTACTAAAATTGGAAACTAGGGCTTGGCAAACAAAAAAAACCCTAAACCTCGAGTATAGCTTCAATGCTTAATATAGGACCTCGATCACCTTCACTAAAGTGTGTGAATCCCTCAAAAGACTTGTGTATTGCCGGAACAAGTACATTGAGTTGCTCACGAAATCTCCGTGCGCGAGCCCTAGTGATGGGTCCGCTTGGAGCATACACGCTATTCTCAGCCCCTCGATCACCCGAGCCACCGTTAGCGTGCCCACGCACTATGATACTATCAACTTAATCATTGGCATGGGAGGCGTTGGTAAGACAACTCTAGTCAAAAATGTTTATAATCGCTTGCCAACAGAAATTGGTGAAGTCAGGCTTCTGAGGTACCTTGATTTAAGAGAGATATTGATTGAAAAGCTCCCTCATTCCTTAGGTTGCCTGCGAAACCTACAAACTCTTGACATAGTCAACTTGGATTGGGAGTGGATATTTCAGATTTCATTTGGAAGCTTGAAAGTTTACACCATCGATATGCATCTGATATAAGATGTAACATGTCATAGATTGACTGATTGAGTAATCTCCAGACCTTGGCACACATACACCTTGATCACATTATGCACAATAACATTATAACTTTGATATGTATTCGGAAACTAGGGATTGTAGTGGATGTCAGCTCACATGATGAGCAATCTTAGGGGAAGACCCTCCTAGAACCTCCCAACTTTGTAATATCAGAGTTGGACCTTTTCTCTCAATGGAAGTTGAACTCGATTGTTCTCATGAACTCAAGACCTCTGACACACTAAGGTAATCAGCAACCTTAAGCAAATAATGATGGATGAAGAGACACAACGATTAGGAAACAAACTAATCGATAAAGTTTGATTTGAATCCTAAGCTATGAAGTCAAGAATTCAAGAGTAAGTTCGATTAAGAATTTGAAGGAAAATTTCTCACGATTTTTTGTTGTAATATTCCTTCCCCTTTACTCATACAAGAGGTGCCTTTTTATAGGTTAGAACTAGGGCAACTCCGTTTGGAGTAAGGATTGACAACTCACCTATCTAAACTAAGAATAGGAATTCGACCCACATAAAGAGCCAACTTTTTATGACTTCCCGATAAGGCCCAATAATTAATAAAATCTACTAAAAGGATTAAAACTCAGCGACAACATGTCCTTTTTGCGAGTAACAAACTACTAAACTAGGCAGTTTTAAAACAACTACAAAGTAAACTAATAAGTATGAAATCATTCTTTCACTTCAAACGTACAAGTGAACAAGGTAACTTCATGGTCCATCAAATCTTCAAACTTAGCTTTCTCCTTGCTTGTATGGTGAATGATTAAGGCTCATAAAGCTTCCTTCACCCTCTTATGGACCAAAGGATCCTTGACCCAAGGTTAAAGTTTTTGCGTACCCGTATCCGCATCATTCTCTCTCTCCTCGAAAAGATTCGTCCTCGAATTTTCAAAGTCTCCTCTTGAAAGTGATTTGTCCACAAATCGACGGTGCGCTTAAAGGACAATAATGTTGGAAATAGATGAGTGACTACAAGCCATGTTGCATGTCATTTGGTCAGCTTTGGGAAGCTCCCAAACAAGGACATGCGCCAAGGTAGGAAAGAGTTTGTGTAAGGCATGTGAAAATCCCAAGTGGCAATCCAAAACTCTCTAATTAGCCTTTGGTCATGGATCTTCACATTGACACCTTGATTGTGCAAATGTGTAAAATCCAGCACTAATTGACATTGATTTGAATCATCTTGCATAGATAAATTGGGAGCAACTTGTTGCATGGATGAGTCACTAAACAACTCGTGGAGGACAGTTTTGGGATCTTGCGTGACACACAATTTCTCATCTTCCAACATATAAGGTAGCAAACAATTGAATTCCATTTTATGAGGGTTACTCGAACTAGCACAAGTTGAAGTTGACAAAT